GATATGTGTGCTTACATGCTTAGTTATCCATATGTGTTTACGTGTTTATTGCTACATATGTATGTGCTTACTTGTTTCTTAATAAGTTGAGATATCCACTAAGCTTTATTTGCTCAGCGAGTTATTTATTTAACTCGTAGGTTTCGAGACTGGACAGTAGAGAGTCAGCTTACAACTGCTGGAGTTCATCTTTGGAAGACCCAGTCTTCAGGGTAGCTACTCATTTTGATATTTTGATTCTGTATATCCTTAAAAAGAAGTTTATTATAAAGGAAGAGAGAGAAACGAAAGTAAAAAGAAAAAGCCCACCCCGTACCCTCGCACGCCAAAATAAAAAATAAGAATTTAACGAATAATAGAAATAAGACATAAGAATGAGAAAAAGACAAGTCTTCAGGGTAGCTACCATTTTGAATATTTTGAATTCTGTATATCCTTATCATGGCAATGTACACGGCACAGTTCAGGTTGGGCCATTTCAATTTTTGCAAACTAGTATACATGTCTTGTAAATATTAATTTACTTAATACTAGTAACAGATCAGCATGATATAATAGTCAGTATCCATTATGATATCAGCATGAACAGGGCCATAAAGTCATCCAGTTTGTAGGCATCTCATTATGATATCAGCATGACAGGCCATAAAGTCAACCAGTTTGTAGCATCTCGGTTCGGTTCATTCGGATTTACGGGTGGACCGAGAAGGGATGTTACATGAACAACATTTGGTAGGTCAACTACATGCTCGATAAATAACTCCACTATATCCCCATTTTCCACAAACTCCAAATGAAACATTACATCAGCATCAGTATTGAGTAAAGAGAAAACTTCAGTTTCTCTAGCAATGAGGCTTCTGCAGTACAATTGACTAATATGCTCATAACCCAAACCTTTGCCCTTCCTAAAAGGTCCACATGTGAAACTCTATCACTGTCCACATTTTCTTCCACTGTGACAATGTCACCAAGATATCTCATATAAGGCTCTATTTCAAAGTGTCCACCATGAAACCATCTAAGATGAATTATCTTCTCAACCATTCTGCAAATAGAGAATAAATATTCATTTAGCCCTAAACACTATATTCCCAGATTCATAAATCACGTATATATCATAATGAGGAAAACAAATACAATCTCAAAATAACCCTTCTTTCATTATTCTAATAACGAAAAAACCTTCATGCAACTAAATCAATATTTTTTTCTAAACAAGACAAAAATCCAAAAATAGATTAAAAGGACGATTGCCACTTCATTTTTGCAAAAACAGATGAAAAATAAAGCAAATAGCACAACTCAGATGAGTTTTTCACAAAAGAAATCGACTACTTACATGTTAATAGAAATGGCTTCTCCTTCGCTTCAAGCTTTAGCAAATCTCTTTCCAGTGTTGCAACTGCTCATTACTAGATTCGCACTCTCACACTCAAAAACCCTAATCTTCTCTCTTATCTCAACGACAAAATGTGTCTGCTTTTGTTTATGTGAGACAATTTTTCTTCAAGCTTGTGTTTTTATCTTTCCTCGCTCAGACATGGGTTTACCTCCCCAACAGTTGTTTCTTCATCAAACGGAAGAAAAAAAATTATTCAAATTATCTGATGTGGCTAGTTAGGTGGGCCTCATTCTTCGTTAACTAATCCAACTCAACGGAAGTGAATTCATGTGCTTCTACCAGCGTAGAAAGGTGCAATATTGATACGGGAAAAAAAAAAAAAAGTTTTGAGGTGCATAACTGGTTACCTGCAAACATGGGGTGCCGTTGGGTTAATTTTTTAAAGTTCAGGTGCAAATTTATGTTTTGTGCAAGGTTAGATTTAAGCTTTTGATAACAAAAATTAAATTGCATACTATCAGTATCCAAGTCATTGAGTAAATAAAATTAATTTTTTTTAAGTAATGAGTGCCACAGTTTTATTTTGCAATCAAATATTAATATTTTATTTAAATATTTAATCAAAAAAAATTAATACTTAACTAACGAATTTTAATTTGGTAGTGGTGAAATTATTTTTAAAATTATTAATTTTTAAATACTAAAATAATATAAGTTTTTTAAAAAACATCACTATCGTACGGATGCTAAATGGCCATTCACACAAATATTCAATTATCCATATCGGGGACTATCTTATCAAAATAACTTGTCTTTTTTATTGCTAAGATGAGTCACCATCAATAAATGAATTATGATATATAGCGTGGGATTAAAAAATTGAAATCATTTTTATATATGGTTATACGCGTAGCGTAATATAATGAAAAATGTATTGTAATGAAATGTAATTAATATTTTATTATTATATTTAAAAAAATATATAGAACGCGAGCATAAATATATAAAAAATAACTGTAATTATATCAATACCACAACTAAAGGAGCAATTTTGATTCAGAAAAAAATAAAGAATTCAAAATATTGACCTGTAGATTAAAAAGTATTTGTTGTTATTTAAATCAAAAGTTGTTTTCCTATCCCTAGACTGAGACAATGGTCTTGCATAGGGAGACAAATGGTCCCAAACCGCCCACAGGCCACGGCAATAGCATTAGGTGCGCCACAATTTCCCTCCCTACAGATTGTTAAGTATTAAGACATCTTGACTTGCTAAGCTCAGCTTTTGCGATCAATATATAGTTTAGGTTCTTCTACCACCCACTAAAACTTTGACTATCTTTATCTACCGGTAGCAACATAGGCCGGGAGCATGGGAAAGAATTTTTAGATTCGATCCTCACTAAACGCATTTATAGTGAGGGGCAAGAAGCTATAACTGTGACTAAATCTCGAGCTAAATTAGATTGTCTCTGATAATGGATCCGGATACCGGTGGTATATAAAAAAAAAAAAAAAAAAAAAAAAATTGCGATCAATATATAGTTTAGGCTTCTATCTAGCCTACCCACTAAAACTTTACTATCTTTATTCTACCGGTTAGCACATAGGCCGGGAGCAATGGGATATAAAAGACAATCTTAGCCTCGATCCCATCACTAACATTATGATGGGTGCAACAAATGCCTAAACTCAGAGTAGCTGTGCGCCATCATACTTTGTCATATATACTCGTTTCTCCGGGATTTAAATCCCACTCAATAATAGAGAAAAAAAAAAAAACAAAAATGCAACAACTTTGATTCATCCTTCTCTACCAAAGAAGATAAAATTAATAGCTACAACTAAAGCTTCGATCCCCCATGAAAAGCGAGCTGCTGTAAACTGTTAACCATCTCTCGTCATGCTGAGGGATTAACACCATCATACAACACAAAAAATACAATAATAAAGCCAATGCGTCACATATTATTCTCTCCATACGACAGCTGCGCAATAAAGCGTCACTATTCGCGATAGGGAAAATATTAATTCAACTCCACACGCGTGTGAGATCTTTGATGTCAGTACTCTAGACTAATTAACTGGAAACTTTTGTTTCTGTTAATCATTTTAGGCCTTAGGCTACCTGTGCACCATATCACTTGCTATGTCATCCTTCCGTTCATTATTATAAGCGTTGTTCTTCGCTGGATTAGCATAGAAAAGCGTCTGATATAATCAAGCATGGCATTTTTTGATTCTCATATTTGTCATTCTTACACTATTGGCTGCCTAATGTATTCTTTTCAGTCTGTATTTTCACTATTTCTCATTTTCTCTTCTCAATACTTTTGCAATGCGACCGGCTTTTCTAGTCCTCAAAATGGGCAGTTGTGAATTTGCGCATTTCAAGACTTAGCACGGTTGGTCTCGCGCTCGTGAATGCAAATCTTTTATCCGCAAAACATAATTTAGAGTGAGTTGATATAAAGCACAAATTACAATTGTGATATACGATCACTCTCGTAGGTTAACTCTAGACTCTCGGTGTTATTTTTATAGATTGGGCAGGTATGAGAGACAATTCGAGAAAGAGAGCTGCTCTAGAACTTTTTTCTGAGATGTAGTTTCTATTGCGAGTGTTTCTGGACTAACAACTCAGTTTGTTCTAACTTGTCGTCCGAATCAACTTAAAAGAAAAAAAATGTCGAGTTGACTTAGATTTGTTGCCATTGAGGGAAGGCTAAATGATAACGTCTCCCTGCTATTCACCTACATGCAAACATATAGAGTGATATATCTAATAAACTCATATCTTAGTGAAATATGAAAGATAAAATTTAAATTATAAGCTAATAAGTACTCACATGAGTGCTTAGCCTCATCATCGTGCTACTGCTTTTATAAAAACTGAGTTCTGTGTACTAGAGTGTTATATACAAGCAAGCTCCTATACTCAATTAAAGTCAGTGCTAATGGCTTTAGCTGAAAGAGGTGAACACAGGGATTGAAGTATACACGATTTTTGTAATGCAGAGCGTGACTCTGGTTAAAATTACAGTAATATATTGATATAGAATCCAAGATTGAAAGATTTAGAGTACTTGCAATGATGAAATAGTTATGATTATAAAACATATTTAGATAACGTTACTAGGTGACATTGGTTGCTCGTTCGCGCGTATAGGCTTACTAATAAACTACGTGCCTGCGTCCATTCTAATTATGCGTATTTTTATTCGATGAATATCAATTTTTTAATCCCTAAAAATTACACACAATATACTCACAGATCTCTCTATATGTTACCTTTCTTTAGTTTCATCAATCTACATATACCGACTTCTTAGAGCGCTAGCCACCTAAAGCTATTACTCTGTCTATACATTATGTATGAGCATATTATTATAAATATTACTCAAAAACAAATTGAACACAGTGAGACGCCACTATTTAATTAGCTAGATGATGAATATTACCTTACGTGTCCTCAACCACAACGTAGTCCACATTTAGACTCCTGATGCGGCATCTAACCTGGAAATTGATTTCTAGTGCCTTCCCAAAAAAAAAAAAAAAAAAAGAAATAGCAGCTAGGTTTATGTTTTATAATGCTGCAAAAAAGGGAAATTGAAAGGGAAACCACTTTGCACTAAGATTGATCTCCAAGCTATTTGCATGCCATAGACAATCATATAAAGTTGGCAACTGATTAATTGCTTGTTAGACTAATAGAATACAAATAATAACAAGCGACCATTGACTGGAATTTTGTTAAATTGTTAATCATTTAGGCCTTAGCAGCCATCCATTGCTAATTTCATCTCCGTTCATTAAATAGTGTCTTCTTGTTCAATTAGTCTTAAGATGATCAAAGCATTTTGATTCTCTATTTGTCATTTTTACATTTGGCTCCTTTTCTTCTTCAAGTTGTATTTACATTTTCTCATTTCTTTACAATCTTTTGCAATGACCGCTTTTTCTAGTCCTCAAATGGGCAGTTTATGCGCACCAAGATTAAGATGATGGCGCGAAATCAATCTATCCTGCCAAATTTTCTGATGAGGAAAACAAAAATGATTAAGAACTCGAACTCGAGACGGGTATTATTGTTCATTTGGAGCCAACAAAAGATGCAATCTTTTTCTGAAGTTCTGGTTTGTCTGCTCCCACAAGTTTGTCTACTTGTCGTCCATCCTTAAGGAAAAAAAATGTCGGAGTTGACTTAATTTCCCATGAAGAGCTAAACTCCTGCATCACCCAAGAAATAAAGATCATTAACTAAACCATAATCTTGAAATTAAGAAAGATAAAATTGAAATTTTTAGTAATAGTACTCACTGCAAGCTCATCAATGTCTACGCTTAAAAAGACTAGGGAAGTATATTTATCAGCAAGCTCACAATAAGCAGGTGCTATGGATTTACTTGGTGAACACCAGGATGAACAAAAATTTACAACTACCTGTTAAAAATACATTTATATGAGAATTGACAAGGAAATTTGTACTTGCAGAGAAAAGTTGATTATAAACATATTAGAACTTACGATCTTGTTGTCTTTGTTGGCTTCCGATAACTTTTCCTCCCATTTCTGAATGGAATTTATTCGGTGAACATTTTTACACCTACAATCTCCATGTCCAGTATCTTTACTTTTCTTAGTATCATCATTACCATTGTTCTTAGACTTGCCACATATGCTAACCTGCAAGAAATATGTTTGATTTGTCAATTAATATTACAAAACATGACAAGAAATGCACTATTAATTGGTAAGAGATTCACCTGGCTCCAACACTGTCCCATTGCCTATGCACACCCTGGAAATTGATTTCTAGTGCCTTCCTATAAAAGAAGGAAAAAAGATTGAAGAACTAAAAGAAGAAGATTAAAAATGTTACCTTAGGAATCAAGAAAGAAATGACAGGTTGAAAGATTCAAGATTTCTGAGCAAGAAACCAAGAAATAGAAGGTTTGCAAGAACTGAATGAAAGGAGCACCTGAATACCTTCTAACAATTCACCAAAGAAATAGGAATATATAGAATTGACTTTATTAGGAGAGGAAATTAGTAGCTTTCTTTTCAACTTTCCGTTTTCAGGTTTATGGATAGAAACAATATTCTAAAAACTAACCAATGCCGAGTACAAGAATACCCTTTTAACCAACTTGGTTGTCTTTCTATTTCTTTTGCTTTTTTCGGTAATTTGCATATTCTTAGCTAAACTAATTAACCTGTAAGTTTGACTTGACAAGTTTTCCCCCAAGAAAGGCATTATTCTCAACCATTCATGTCAAGCTTTTCTTTAATTCTCGTCTTGTCTGTTTCAATTCCCTAGTTGTTGTGTGGATGATGGCAATCCTTTTAGTTTATCCATTAACTTTCAGGTTTAAAATCTTCAAATTCCCAACAATTGCTTGGACCTTCGTAATTAGTTTGAATATATAGAAAAAAAAATCGGCCACAGCAATAATGCTTTTTGATGAACAAAACAGTCTCATAAACGACATATCGTGTGAATGTGCGAAGTGTCCTGCCGTTTGTCAAGATCATAAGATCCGTGATCCACAATGATGATCAAACAATGGGGCTGTAAAGCATGCTTGACTGGATCCAAAAACATAAAAACCGCAACTCCAATTTCATCCAAACAAATCCCAAATGAAAGAGGGCTAGGCGACTGACAAAATCAACAGCCCACAAAATCGACAATAGCTCATTCGTGTCGTCCGGTTCAGACAGCTGTCGTTGGCTAGCCAAAATTGACACTATTTTTATTAGCTAATCAAATATTTGTTGTTTAAACTAATAGCTATTAAAGCAGCTACAAACTATTGAACTAGCTAATATTGCCAAATAGACCCTAAAAATTATAGCGGATAAAATAGACTACAATATAGGCTTCTCCTCAAAGGCAACAACAATAAATTTGAAGATTGCTAAGCAACTCTAGACATCAAAAATTCTCATTAAGAAAAGAAAACAAAAAATGATGTTTTTATTCTAAAACCAAAAACTACTGAAGATAACATAACAAATTTCCTGTTGCTACTGATACTTATCCAACCTAAAGATATCCCACCAGGATTTTGTTGAAAGTAATAATCTTGTTAAGCGCTCTTTCTTTATCAATGGAACTTGAGCAGCGAATTCCATTTACAGATAGCTTGGAGCTAGAGAACTACAGTTAGTGCCACAATCTGTGATATGAATTGCATCTACAAACTGTGAATTACACCATTCCATGAAAACCAGCTGAATCCAGAAGTACTGCCTTGATTTGCTCTGGTAAAACATCCTGACCTTCCCTGCATTGCTGATAAAGAAGAAAAGACAAGATCAATATGTCGACGACCATATCTATTTACCCTTAATAAAGAAGAACCAGAAAAGGCAGAATTTGGCTTCCTCAGGCTATTAACGAAGAGAAAAACACTACTTATCACTATTTCCGAGTGTGAGGCAACAATGGTTGTCGAGATTGGAACAGAAACATATTGCTATATACCGAGATGGCATGTCGGAGTTCATGTTTTAAATGCTTTGAAGCAAACAAGAAGATAGAGTAAGAAGCACACCTCAGCTCGAAACACATCTAGTGCAAACCCATTGAAACAGCTGATGACAGCTTGCTGAATATCCAAGCCAAGGTTGTCCAGAGCCCTCATTGTGGAAAGTAATAAACCTGGTCTTCGGGCACAAAACATGTGAATGTTGACTGCTCTTCCTTCCCTTACCCTAACTTCCACCTGCAAAGTTCCCAGAATGCTTTGAGTTGAAAGTTCCTCATTTATCACAAGCAGGGAACTTTTGAAGAGTAATGCTTTCTCTAATGGACATGTAAGAATCTTCTGCCTCATTAGACCATGTGGTTTATAATATTAAAAGAGATCTAAGTATTCAAGATTGCGATTGGATGACTAAACTGTATTTGATCACTAGAAAGAAGCATATGTCAAGCATAAAAAGGTTAAGCACGTGGTTCATCGTTTGCCTAAGCGCACAAACAAGAGCACATCTATTCTAGAGATTAAACAAGTCATTTGGTTTCTAAAAATGATTCTAAACACAAACTGACAAGAGGCTTGTCTTCTTACAGCCAAAATATGGAAGAAACTGTACAAATTCAATTAAAAAGTGCTCTCCAATCTAATCTTTTTGCCATGTTGACAAGACTAATAATATGCAGCACATGAATCACAAGCAAAAAACTTATGGAGTGATCTGAAATTTTGACAGTTATCCCTGTTAAGTGGAAGTCATTATAGAAACCCTAAAATAAAAGCATCAAGCAACAATCAGAAACTTAAACCAACATAATTATTTTCCAGTAAAATCGAGCACTAAGCTGAAATGAACCTCTTTGTAGTAACAAGAAGACAGGATTTTACCCTTGCAGATTGGTTTTTTGGGCTTGGCAATGAGCTGGGGCATAGTTCTTCCTTCACTCGGCAGGGAAGGGTGGCAGGTGTAGGAGTCAAAGGGTGGAAACTTGTAGACTGGGGTAGCAAAGGGCCAGAAGGGGCCGACTCCAATTCATTATGAAGATCATTAATCCGTTGCAGAAGCTCCTTTAAATAATCAATGGCATCCCCAAGTATTGAAGCCCTATCCATCTGTAAGCATAAAAAATTTAATCAATGGATATTATTTTTCAGTTCAAGAATCAGGATAATAAGGCCCAGAAGCACCTAATAACACTGCACAAAGTAACTCTAAACACAGTCTAAATCTAAAGAGGTTAAATTAAATGCCTTGAAATTAAACTAACTAGATAGAAATTCTTAAACTTGTAGGCTCTCTATGGATAATTATCTAAATCTAAAATGTTAACTATCAAATTAGAACATTATTCAAGACTCTTAAAATTCTATTGTAGATATATACAAGTATACAAGCTACGGCATGGTAGGCAAGAACTTAAACCTAGTGACCAAGAGCCATGAATTCAAACACCAGGATTTATAGATGAAATAATGAAGGACATAAAGCATCACCAGAAAACCCAAACTCGAAAGAATCTAAGCGATAAAGCACCAAAAAGGAAAAAGAACTGATGTGCCACCATTTACCTTGCTAATCTTGGGGACAACAGATCTAAGCATGTAGAGCCTATCGTTGAGTCTCTTTCTTCTCCTTCTCTCAGCCATCAAATTCTTAGCTGGCATTCCCTTTTTCTTCCCCTTTTGATCACCACCACCTCCTCCACCAGTCACAGTGCTATTGGCATTTGAGTTGCTTCCACCATTATTCTTCACACTTTCTTCTACCTTACCATCTCCATTTTGCTCATCAGAATCATAATTCAAACCTGAAACATCAAAACTCACTTCCTCAATTTCACTTTCTTCACTCTTCTTTCTCTTCTTTTCCATTTCACCCCAATTCCCTCCACTTTCTCTTCCATACCTCAACCCTGACATTTCCAAATTCCCAATTTTATCCCCACTCTGTCTTAACATAGCCCTTTTTTGAAACAGAGTTGGTGGTGAACCCACTTGAGACAAAATCTCAAGTGGCCTCAAGACCTTAGCTCTGCTTGAAAACAGAGCATTTCCTGGAGAACCATCAAAACCCTCAAGCCCCACATTACCAAACCCGCCAGCTCCAGCATTATCAGGCACGGAGAGCAACTGAGAAGCATGAAACTCAGGCCCACAAAAATCCATCAAATTGGAACCTTGATTTTGCTGAAACTGGTTTAGAAACACACTTTCACAACCCAAATCGAGCCCATTGTCAAAAGGGTTAGTAACATTAAGAAGAGAAGAGAAGCAAGATTTAGAGGGCAAAAAAGGATGGTGTGATTGTGAAGGATCGAGAGAAAATGCTTGTGAAGGAGAACAAGAAGAGGAAGAGTCCATAGGCTGTAAAAGAAGGTTTTCTGGTGTTGGGTTAGAGCAAAAAGCAAGGTCTCTGATTTCATGGTGGTTTTGGAGAGGAGATGGGTTTATATCAGAATTGATATACCAATCAGTTTCAAGCATAGATTTAAAAGTAGAGAGAGAACCATGAATACCCAAATCTTCTTCTTCTTTACGCTCTACTTCATTATCCTTACTGTGGTTCCTAGTCCAAGAAGAAACAACATCTTCTTCGTCTTCCTCCACTGCTCCTCCTCTTTCTCCTCCCATCCAAACGACGCCGTTAGCTCCAAGAACCATGTCTCTGTGACTGGTTTGGTTGTGCTGTGGAGAGAAAAGAGAGAAAGAAAGCTTCGGTTATGGAGGGTAGTAAAGCTTTTAGAGCAGTGGCGTCATGTTATGATAGGAAATGAACAGAAAATGAAATTCGAAGTTTGAACTTTTATGTACTTTCTTTTATTATTACTTATTATTATTATTATTATTATAAATATATACAACTTTTTTTTACTAAAACGAATGGAGAGAACTGCCTCCGTAGCCTGTGTGGCTTATCTATGTGTCTGATGCTGCCTCCGATTATTTATTTTATTTATTTTCACGAATTTTTCTTTAATATTATATATCTTTCATTAATATAAACTAATTGAAATATAATTTTTAATGTAAAAATATGATATCAAAGTTATGTATTGGCTAACACATGTAGGCGATTATAATTAAAATTATTAAATCAACTTAATTCATTTTGGTCTTTTTTTAATAAATATTGTATGATTTTTGTTTTCATAAAAAAATTGAAATCTTTTTTTTCTTTTCAGATTGATTTTTTTGAAATCCAATAAATACGTCTAGAACAGTTTGAAAATAGATAAAAACAAATATAACTTCAGTTTCATTTTTTTATACTAATTGGTTTGATTTGATTTTCATTTTAAAAAATTTTGGTTTATTCAGTTTACTCTGATTTAGTTCTACATAAATGAAATTATTCTAATGCTCATTCTAATAATAATAATAATCTTAAATGTGTTTAGTTCAGATGATAGTTCATTTGTATCTGACAGCTATATTATATGTGTTTGGTTCAGTTTTATAATTTGATAGTTAATAGAAATTTCAATCACTTGTTAATTTTCATCGAGCTGCCAAATGATTTATATTTTATATTATATTTAAACTTTATTAACCTCATAAAAATAACTATTAATTTCATTAAATATTATTTAAAAACTTCAGAAATATTATTTATTATACAACTTATTTCAGAAATATATATAATTTGTGATATCTATATTTGGACTAGTTGATATTCGGATAAATTTCACCAACGGTGACGACTCTAAATTTTGAGCTCTTGGAGCGTTACTTTATTTGTATTTTCAATTTTTATTTATATTTAGAGTAATTGCTAAATTGTTTGCAGGAAGTCCATTACAAATACATTTATAAATAGGTTTCGTCAATCCAAAAGGAAGACTTGTCAATGAAACAATTCTAATGGTGAGATTTCATTTCATAGGAGGAAAAATCACAGTAGACTCGGTCTCTCTCTCTCTACATACATATATCAGATGGCAACTTCATAGGTTAGCTGTTCAAACTTGTAAACCCAATTTCAAATTGCTTCACAATTGGGGCATCATTAAGTATTTTGATAACGAAATGTACAAATACATGGAAAAATGTTTTTATACTAAAAATATTTTTAATTTAAATAATTTATCTGCAAAGAGGGCAGTGTATGCAACGATGTTACAGTGTAAGGATGCAAATTGAAATGCATGCATGTCAAATGGAAACAAATTGAGAGTTTGAAACATACACTTCTAGTTTAAGCCATCATCTTTTAATGAAGTCACATAAATGTTGTGTTCTTGTTATTTATATGCATATTTTTTATTTATTGCTACTCATCTTGAAAGCATTCTGACATTCAAATTCAATTATTCATGAGAGAATGTGGGTGAGACTGGAATATAGTCTTGTTAGGTTCAAAATGGGCCACACCTCCTTCAAAATATATAATATTTTTTAGATTGAGATATATTTTATTTTTTTTTTAAAATTTACTATGAGTTAATGTGAACATGCAAAAAGGTTTAAATTTTATTTTTTTTTTTTAATTTTCTTTTATTAAAAGAAGAAGGGATGCGAAGAAGAAAGTTCAAAAAATAATTTTAGAAAAGAAATCACCATAAGCCATTGATTATAAATTTATGATGAAAAGCAACTCACCAAAAAAATTAAAGATGTTGATCAAAACCCAATAATTTGTTTTCTTGTTTTCCAATCTAGACATTAAATAATTAATTAACGATATCATTTATATAGCTCATATAACACATGTATGCAAGTTACTTATATAGCTTATATGAGTAATTTGAATTCCCTTCAACCCATTTCCCAATTGTCGGTTGCAAGGAGCAAAATACAAATTAATGCAATAATAATAATAATAATAATAACCATAACCTATCGATTGTGGTTCAATTGGCAACGCAGACTGAATATGAGTGTGATTCTACTAAATCCATCTGTAAGAAGGAGCGAAAGTCTTAACTATGACTAAATCTCGAGTCGAATTAAACGGTCTCTCAAAAATATGATTTGAATACCGGTAATTTAAAAATAATAATAATAATAATGCAAAAGAGTAGTTTTGGAATAAATTATGCAAAGGAAAAGCCAAGTATCTCGTGATTTCCAATTTGCTTTCACCGCACTTAATACCCAATCAAATCAAATCCATAAAATGTCATTTCCCTCTACTTTTCAATTCCCTCTTCTTCAAAACTCTTCTGCTCTCCTCTTACACTTGTCCCTCTTCGCCTGCTTTCCCTTTTTAAACTGCTCTTTCTACACTGTACGCAACATCTATAATTCTTCAAGACCAATCTTTAAGGCTTTGTTTCCAACTTTTAATCTACTTTTAAAGTTTTAACTACTGTTAGGCTTCATAGCTTTTATATCAGTGTTTTTATTATTGAATTATTAAAATAATTAATTTTTCAAACATAGACTAAAGTTCTGTTTAGCAATAATTTTTGAAGTATCGTTTAACATTTTAATTAAGATCAAAATACTATTTTTATTATTTATATTGTTGTATTGTATTACATTTACAGGAGTGTTTAGAGTTTAATGGAGCATATTATGAAACATTATTCTTATTAACAATTAATAAATCACTAGTTGAATAGCTGAACTGATAACTACTAAAATAATTAATTTTACCTGATAAACATAAGTTTTTATATAAATATTTAAAGCTAAATACATAAATTCACCCTGCGCTTTGTTATTTTAACATTTGACACCCTTAACCTTTACTTTTACTTTTTATTTATAAAATTACATATATTAAACACTTTAATTTGTAGAATTTTATTGAACACTTCAACTCTCAAAATTTGATCAATTAAATATTTATTATATAGTTAAAAAATATAAAAATTGTTGTCCTAAAAGTTATACTAACTACACATCAAATCAATATTTTATATATAAAAGCTAAAAAATCTAAAAATTATTGCTATTAATATGGAAAGGTACGAAATGTTATTAAAATTTACAAGTTCAAGTGCATAATAGGTCATTCACAAAATTTAAAGTGCTACAAAATTTTCAAATGTATAATAGATCATTCACAAAATTTAGAGTGCTGTAAAATTAAGATTACAAAGTTTAAAAATTTAAGAGTGAATTTATATATTTTGTCGAATATTTAATAAGTTATCCTGAAATTGATGTTAATCTGTAAGATAACTTTAACTCCCTTTCCGGAAAGTAAAGTATGATAAACAAAACTGCAATCGAAGTGGCTGCTCCTCTTGCTCTTGTTGCGTGCCCAAACAAAATTTTGTGATTCCAATTTCCAACTTTTACAAGTTTGAAACGTAAAGACATCATGATGTCATGATTCAGTATTTTAGTGAGTTCATTGATCTGTATCCATTCAAGATATAAGTGGATAGATATTGAAATTCATCTCACATAAAATCATTTCATCATTCATTTATTTATAAAATTTTATCTATTTTATTATTTTTCATTGTGCATTCTATCCTTTTTAATTTCTTAATCCTACATAGTATAAAAATATTGAGACCTTTCCTTAACATATTAATTTTAAAGTTAAACTTTATTTTTTAATTTTAAACTTTTTTTGAAAGGATAGTTTTTTTTTTTAAATATAATTCATTAATAATAATATCAAGTATTACAAATATTTAAATAGAGCAAACATAAAGTTTTACTATTAATACCTAATAGAGTTTGTTGATCTTTTAACGAAAAAAATGATTTCATACTTTTAAATAATGAAATTAAAATAAAAAATTATAATATTAAATTTTTCCGCTTGAAGTCGTTTTTGACAAAATATATAAATCTTAATAGTAGCAACTAGTCCGTTTATTGATTTGGACGACAAAATAATAAATTCTCTGGACCTTCTATACTTTGATTGTTTTTTCAAGAATTTGCAACATATGACGAATATATATGAGTTTTCGTCAATGTGCGTCAATAGCATCAATAGAGAAACAGACTGCACTACCATGCTCCATTAATTAAATATCCATACTTGTTAATCAAGATCTAAAATTTTCAATTAAATAAAGTTAAATATCATATTTTTATTTAATAATACACCCTCACAAAAAGAGGAAAAAAAACTTTAAATATGAAGATAAAATAACAATAACAAAAATAAAAAAAGACATCTGTTTTAAGAAAAACATATATGAGTTTATTAAAATGAATAAAAAATTAAATGCCGAAGAAAGAGGAGGGGAAGGTAGGGCTACTGATGATAACAAAGGGTTTCTAATACTAATAAAAACCATTACTATAATATAGAATTTTTTTTATTTTCTAATTTTAGTATAAAAAATGAAATTTCACTCGAAATATTCAAATGCCAAATGCAATTTAAGCATATATTTTTTTCAGTATGGAAAAAGAAATTCAAATCTGAATCTATTATTATGTTGTAATACACTTATCACTAGCTAGGCTATATCTTAGTATGCGATTTAAGCATAAAAATATAGTATTACTTTGCCGTAGAAATAAAAAGGAAATTAAAGAGGGTTTAATTTATTGTTTTACCTTTCCTAAAAAAAAAAATTAATATTTTCCCTCTTAACAATAATTAATTAGTTGTTATGGTAATTAAGAAGTTTCTTTTCTTATCTTACTAATGAGATTAGCACTCTACATTTAGATTATTATAGTGATATTGTCTTAAAAGAATTTGAAACACTTACATGGCTAGTTTAATTTTATAACTAACTTCCATATTAATTAAGAATGAGCTAATTTTTTTTATATATGGAAATGAGCTACTATTTTTTTTTTCTTTTTTAAGATATATTTATATAGAAAAACTTACATAGAACCAGTCCATTAGTCCCACATATGGATTAAACCTATAAAATTTAGAATTTTTATTGAAACGAGATTATTTCTAACCATACACTTGGAAAAAAAAAGGAATAAAGTCGAAACACTACTTTTTAAGAATTTTTTAATTCTATTGGTTTGATCTAGAAGTAAAGTCATGGAATTAGTAAACAAGTTTTTTACATACTTACATAGTCAATATATACATTCAGGAAATTATCTTCTAAAAATGTAAACAATTACGGAGTAAATACCATTTAGTCCCTAGGTTTGGTGAATTATATTATCTAATGCATGTGTTACAATCCAGTTACATCGGATCCAGCTGTTAATTGATCTTTGCATTAAGTAGCTATATAATGCCAGAAAATTATAATTTTTAAAAATAAAATATTTAGTTTTGTATTATCAACATATTACATTAGTTCCTCAAGTAATTATAAGAGCCTTTTAAAGTAATAATATTTGCATTATTGACTTTTTTTTTTTTAATTTATAAACAAGGGACTTTCTAATTTTGCTCCTAGTGTAATCAAAATTAAGACTCTTTAATCCTCTCCGTGGGTATATTTAGTGGAAATTAAACTTAGAAATGCTTTTCACGTATTATGCATGCGTTGCCAATTGAGCCACGATCCGGATGTATTTGCATTATTGACTTTATTAATATTTTTATATTAACTAACAGAAAAGTTATGAAATTTTTACAAAGGGACTTACGAGTATATATAATATAATGAAATTATAATATATGAATCAGATAATGTATAATTTTAATAATGCAAATAACAAGAATAATGCCCTAGCGGTCTCGGATAAACCCATCTCATTATTATAATTTGTAACTTATATTCTTTATTGATTTAATTTGTGATTTATGCTCTTTACTGTGTGTAATTGGCTTTAAATAGAAATATTATAATAAAAATACACTTTATACATGAATTATCTATGAAAATAAAAATTATTTTTAACAATTTTTCATCGAATTAAAATTTTTTTTATTGAATTAAAGAAGTTACTCGTCCTCTCTCTTTCACGTGATATATAGAACACATGGCACACATGCAACTAATTGAAAGGACAGAGAAATGAAAGGGAGTGGTGGGTCATAGTCCTCCATGCACAGCCAAAATTATCATACTTGTACCTACCAATTACTTGTTTTTTAGCTTGGCCCAACACGTGACTGGATAAGAGCGAGCACAAAAGTCATTTTTGAACCAAAGATAGCCTTGTTTAGCCCACAGACACTCAGTTTCCGCTGATTGGGACCAAGACCTATCTTATTCTATTAATGGTTTTGTTACCCAAATCTAGATTCTTATGACAATTACCTTATTCTAATGGTGTGCTTTAGGGTACCGTATCATATTTTTGTTCAAATCAATTTGATTTGATTATGAGTTTAGATGATTAATGAGTGAGTGAGCAACGGTTGTTTTCTCTCTTTCATTTTCAACATATAAAAATCAAAGAAATTTCAAACTTATTTCTTTTTTTTTTTTTAGAATAACTCATTTGTTTTGCTCATTATAATCTTTTGTAAAAAAAAAAAAAAATTAAGACTTTTTCTTAAACTCGTGTTTTCCAATATTACAGCCATTTTTATTATTTTTACTATTTATTCAAGCTAAAAAAACAAAAAATATTTGATTTCGGTTCTAAGTCTAAATCAAACCAAAATCGAGGATCTTAGAACCACTTTATCCCTACTTGTATCATTTAATTATAAAAAGTAAAATACATATTTTTAGTTTCAGAGGGGTTATTTATAATATGGACCTACGCAGTAGATAGGTTGTGGGACAAAGTTATAAAAATTTGAGGTTGCAAATTTTGCAACACAGATAAAAGCAGTTCTGAACAGAAAAAAAATCACAAAAAGAATTCATTTAACATTTAGCATATATTAGGCTTTTTCCAGAAATAGATTACAGATATGAAAGATGTTCCTCCATAGAGGACCATGGCAGATGGCTCTGTTCCCTAATGTCTGATATCGAAATTTCATGTAATAATCTGTGGACCAAACGAAATCTCATGTAGGATAGTTAAGCTCTAGTTAAGGATGCTAAAACTCATGGACGCGGACAAAAGCATGGCAATTAGCAGCCACAGGGACAGGATTTTTTCATAGACAGGCAAAAATGTATTTGTCATGTTCGGCAACAGCTAGCAACTGTACTGATAAGCAACTGCATATATGTACATTTCTTCATCGATTTTTAGAGAACAACATCCATTAAACCCAGAAAAGGTACTGCAGTAAACAAGAAAAATGACCTAAAATTAAGGAAAATAAACGCGAAAATGCCGAAATAACATTACACAATTTGATCAGGAGCAGGAAAATTAAGACTTTTAAAGCTAGTAACTCCTCCATCAACAACAAGGTTATGTCCAGTAATGTACTTAGCTTCATCTGATGCCAAATACAAGGCAGCTTTTGCCACATCTATTTCTTCGCAATTTGCTCCCTTTAACTCTCCCATCCCATTGATAATCTCAACCACCTTCTCTCTTGAAATTGCAGGGTAGAATTGCTCTATTTCGCTCACCGAAAGCGGAGTTGGAATTGCTCCAGGCGAAATGCAATTGATCCTTATTCCATTCCTGCACAGTTCACTTGCTATTGATTTTACTATCCCTGGAATTGTGTATTTTGATATTGTGTACACATGTGGGCCGAGCCCTCCCATGAGCCCACAAATGCTCGACGTGCATAGAATGGACCCGGAGCCCATGGGTATCATTACTCGAGCTGCATGCTTAATCCCCGCGATAACGCCCCGAACGTTAATCTGCATTACCCGATCGAACTCGTTAAGGTCCAGATCGGTAATGCTCGGTACGATTGGGCCTGTTATACCAGCATTGTTGTACATTATATCTAGTTTGCCGTAACGGCCCATTGCGGCCTCTACAGCTTCTTTTACTTGTGTCTCCACAGCGACATCACATTGGACAAAGTGGGCTGCAGGGCCCAATTCATTGGCAACATTTTGACCCAACCCAGAATTGATATCAGCAATAACAACTTGGGCCCCATGTTGGATAAATTCATGGGCTGTAGCCTTGCCAAGCCCGCTTGCACCCCCTGTAATTAGGGCCACTTTACCTTCCAGCCTGCTTTGAAAGCAAAAAAAGTAGGAATTAATTACACTATTTTAAAAGAGGAGTGTTGGATTTGAATTTTTATTTTTTTCAATTTATGGTCATCTGGCATTTTATAATCTATCCAATTATACGGTTTTTCTATATTATCCCGGTCTATTAAACCTCCTGAGTATATAAAAAAAATTAACAATAAATGAAATAAAATCTAATATATAATTTTATATTTTAAGGTTCTTTATATTTCACCCTATACTGATTTCATGACTTTTTTTTTTTTTTTTCAATCTTACAGTTTTAAAAACAGCAAATTAATAAAAGGAATATAAAATTGAATGGTAACAAAACTAATTTCTAAAAGTAGAGATTCTTACTAATGTAATACACTATATTATAAAAAGTAAACAACAACTTATATATTAAAGGAAAAATAAAAAGATTATTAACACAAGTCATTATCACTAATATGTTTTGTATAATAATAGAAATTAATATTAAATATTAATTCACCTGAATTTTCCAAAGTTAGAACCAATTAAGGAAAGACTCTAATTTTGAAAAGCATACGCTCTGTTTGGTATAAATAAAAGCAAGATATGAAATTCATTTATAAATAAATTTTAGATAGATTTATTTATAAATGAATTTCTTTCATGTTTAGAATAAATTCAATAATTGAAATTTTATTTACTATTATTTCTAAAATACCCTTGATGTAATAATTTTAGAAAATTAGAAGGACAGAGAATTTTGTCTTAAAGTTTTAGTTGTTTATTATATTTTGGATAGAAATTTGTTTAATTATATTCAAATTTATAATTTTTTTATACGAAATACAAAAATTTACATTTATAAATGAATTACTCGCTTTGATGGAATTCATTTATTCAAGGAGAGATACTGTATTACTAAAGCTATTGGCGATGAAAAAGCTGAGCAATGATGAGCAAGTTAGAAAATGGAAACATTGCATGTGTAATGAGTGAAATTTTTATAGTTTTGTCATGTTGATGGATAATAATAATAATAATTGAGCAGACAAGTGACTACCAGATAGAGAAAAAGATAAAATGTCCATAATGATGAAAATAACATTTCCACATTTCAATGTCAATCCATAATAATTCTTGAAATTATAGTCTTAATTTCTTTTTAAGTATTCCAAAATAATAATTCTATTTGTATTTTTTAGAAATTTTCACTATTTTTAAAATAATCTGTGTCAATAATTAATTTCGATTGAATTTATTAGACAGTGGAAAAAAATCTTACGACAATTAATTAAAATTTTGATATACAAACCATTCATCCTATTTTAAAAATCTAAATGAATAATTAATATACAAAATTTAGGATCTTTAAAAGTAGAAAAATGGAAAAATAAAAAAAGAATTATAGTTAAACTAATTTAACTAACATTCTTAAACTCTTGGATTAATTTATAGTTAATATTTGTTATAATTTGGATTAATTTAATAAATAATGACGGACCACATTAATTTCTTTATAAGGTCAACATAAAGAATATATGCTTTGGAGACCATGGCAATATTACTTCAAACAAACAAATTAAAAATTTTATAATATATTATCAATAAAATTCACATATTTAAATATTAGAATTCAATTAAATAATACACAACGCAATTAAATAAACTAAATATGCTATATATTCAATTTTCGTAATTCTAAAAAGAAAAAAAAAAGGTTGAGAAGTGATAATGAGAGAGGGAAGAGAGAAATGACAAAGAAAAGAGAGTATATTACTTTGTTAATTTTAAAAAATATATTTAAAATTTTAATTTATTTTGATAACAAAAATTTAATTTTATTTAATAATTTCACAGTGTTAAATACATAAAATTAAAATATATTTTTAATTTTTCAACTATGAAAACATACAATTTAAAATAAATTACATAAAATTAAACTTTATAAAAATCCATTTTATTGCAAATAAAGTGTTATAAAATTTTATAATTTTTTTAATTATATATTAAATTTACATATGAATTTCTCTTATATATAGTTTTGGATTGAGCATTCAATGACTGTCAATAATTTGTAGTATAACAGAACATTATTAAAGAGTTAAGTTGACGAGTTATAATATAAAATAAATATAATAATAAAAATAAATAAAATGGATTGATAGATCTGTTGAGTGACCACATGCATGCAATGAAGCACAAATTATTGCAAGTTTCTATGCGAAACAGTCGCTTACAGAAACTTCCTGTTTTCTGAAAAAAAACAAAAACTTTACATGATTGCGGAATTTGAATCTCATAAATATATATAGCTATAGCTATAAATATTATCATTTATAAATTTTTTTTTTTTAGAAGAATAAAATTATTTTGATAAATCAGGAATTTTTCCGTATAAAATATATTTTTTTTTAACATTTAAGATTTTCATTAGCCAATGCTGTGTTTGGATGGAGAGAAACTATGGGATAAAAGAAAGCAATAAGAAAATTCTATTTCTTTTGTTTGGAAAGAGTTCCAAAATTTTGCCCCCAAATCAGGAGGAAAATAGAAAAAATTATAACAAGAAATTAGTAGAATAAAAATAATTTTATCCAGATACAAATATGGAATGATTTGAGTGCAAAAGAAAATTATATATAATTTTTTCCGTTGGTTCAACCTTTTATTCAAACACGAGGGAAAAAAAAATTTTTTCTTTTCAAAATTTTCTTTTTCCCCTTTATTTTCTTTCTTCTCTTGTTTGCTTTTCTTTCTAAACCAAACAGGGAGTAAGTGTTGTCAGGTTCAAGTTTATCGGAGTTATCCTCAGTTGGATAATTCACCTGAATTTTCATTTTTAAAAAAAGAAAGATTTGAATTTACTAACCTCTTAGAGGTGGCTGCGGAGTAAGATCTTGCATTGTTGGTGAACTCGAACCCTCTGTTGTGAAAGAAATATGAATAAAATGATGAGAAAATAAAGAAATAATCACCATATATATATGTAAGAAAAACAGAAAAAGAAGGAAAATGGAAAATAGTAGGAAGACCTGGCTAATGATCGAAGCATTATGGAGAGGCCAATCAAGAAATTAACAGGATCTGATATAAGAGAAGAGGAAGATCTTTAACTATATAAGAATTTTTATCGATGGAGATGGAGAAGCAATTGTGTTTGTGCAGTGTCTGTATTAGACACACATTTCCATGCAAAGAAGCGAGAGAGAGAGAGAGAGAGAGAGAGAGTTGAAGAATGAATACTGAAGTGAAGATGGCTTATGACACTTATGACCTGTCCTATTTATTGATTCTTCTTATGTATGAAACAGAAAGAGAGAAGTCTTTTTTTCTTTTTTCTTTTTTCCAATTAAATGTCAGCACTGAAGATAAGTAATATTCTCTGCCTCATTCCCATTTGATTTGCAAAAACGTGCTTAAGAATTTAACTAATAAAAAATATTTTCTCATATTTTATCTTTAACTTATTAATATATTAATAAAAAATTTTCATTTAGTGAATAATCGTAGAAATTATTATAAAAAATTTATAAATATTTTAGAACATCAAAAAAAAAAAAAAAATAAAAAAAACCCAAATTGCTATAAAGAAAAGAATACATAAGAAACAAAAAGACAGCATACTTTCACTTGGTTAGCCAATTATTGAGCAAATTCTTTTGCTCCTAACATGTCACATGGGCAGTAAATTTTTAGCCTCTTCAAGATCTAATAATAATGCATCAATTGTTGAAATACCCAATTTTAATGCATATATTCCTTACCTTATTTATAAGAATGTGAGCAAATGAATAGTACCTTAATAAATTTTACTGAATTGAGAATATGTGAGTTTGTAGGAACATTCCTTTAATTTGAGAATAATTTTATTATGGACTTTAACCTCGAATTATTTCAGTGTGTCTGTTGACTAAATTCAATGCGTTCTTCTGATTATCCGATTGAATTAAAATCAGAACATTAGATTCTCGAACTCACTTAATTTAGTGAAATAGGGACTGGGATGCTGTTCCAGTGAGATTGTAGGCCAACTTTGGTATTTGTCCCGGATCAGAGATCTACTTCTTCTTATTGAACATATTGTTCTTTTAATTTGCAAATTAAGCGGAAAAAATAAATATATGTTCTATTTTTTTTCTTAATTTGATTGTTTTAGTCTGAAAGTTGTTTTATATAATAACGTTCTTATTTGTTCAGAGCTTCAATAAAAATTCTTTTTTTTCTTCTTTTAAAGACACGAGAGGAAAAAATTGAAATAAGTTAAGTATCTCACACTCTAGAAAAGGACCAAAAATAGAATATTACGGTTAATATTGAAATAATTAACACCCATATTAACACATCCTTCTATACTTATTATACTACTAGGATCTGGGACAACAATCTTCTATTATAAATTTATATTTAAAGGATTTTGTATTTTCTCCTTAGTCACTCTGCTTAACAACAACCAAGAGTTTACTATCTAATCCTTCAAAACCATAAAAAACAGATTGCTTTTTTTATTTCAAAGGATACTTAGTTTCACATTTTACAAAAACTGCAGAATTCATATAAATGAGTGGCGGAAATGGACCTACATTGTGATTTAGTTCTAAAATATTTTTTATATGTGAAGTTAAAGACCGTTCTCACTTTTTCGAGAATTATTGACCAAAATTGTCTACATGAATGTTTTTAAAATATTATTGCACTAATTTTAACAAGAATGTATTTAAAATTTGAAGCATATAGGTATGTTGTAAGACTTTTACTTTGTCCTTTTAAAAAATAAATAAGCACCATATTAAAATTTATATATCATACATATTACAATTAGAATAAATTCAGGACCAAAGCCAAAAATTTCCTAGGAAATGACCTACTTTTCCGATTCTTTTTTGCATGACTGCCATTTATGCTCTGTGAGTAAACATAGATCGATGTGTATATCAAATCGACATTAATATTGGGAGAAGGCCGTCAATCTCACTTTTTAGATGTGAGGCAATATCAGTATATGATTATAGAGACACATTGTATATGAGGGTATGGCATTTGGTATTACAGGAATTTTTTAAATTTTATTAAGCTGTAGATCGTTCAATCAATTTATAAAAAATTGAATCTAGCTTTCATTATTGAATTTGAGCTAGACAAAAAAATCGCCAAATAAATTGTTGAAGTTTTACTGCAGAAAAATAGGAGGAATTTTGTTAAGCATAAGGATCTTCGTGTTTTGTGCTGCTTTTTTGTATAGACAATAATAAAAGTTCCGAGCGAATAATATAATTTATTTAATTTAAGAGGTGCTCAAAATTTAATATGACTCATATAGCTGACTTGTGTTTTATCATCAAATGATATACCTCAATACATCATGTCGCAATATCAAACATATCGTTGACATAGAGGAGTATAAAGAAAAGCATGCTACACACCACGGGGGAGACTAATTAATTCAGATTAGCAGCTGCTTCTGCATGTTATCGGTTCATAAATAGAATAGGCAAAATTGGCCATAATATTATGGATTAGTATTGGATAGGAGATGTGTATCTGTGGGAAAAAAGACGAAATAATAAATCCTTTATGTGTGTCGTGTTTTGAATTAAAAACCGTAAAAATTTGCATGTTTCAGTGAGCCGATGGCGTGTTACGCTCACCCGAAGTTGCGACCAATTGGATATCCGCTTGTTAGGTGAATTAAAGTAAATGAAGATGGATAAAAGAGGAATATAGCGAGAGGAACACGAGCTAACAAAAAACTATCACAAATGAGAGAAATTACTTCTTATCTCCCAACCAGAGATATTTGGGATTTTGCATTTCTTTTCTAGCTAAATCACATCAAACATATCGCGACTTTAGAGTGGCCGACCATTTATTATTTTTAACTAAGACTTTTTTTGTTTTTAACTAGTTCGGAGTTTAAACTATACTTATCTCTTATGTCAAAAAATCATCATCTCTCACCATTTATTATTGTTTCTCTTTAACGGAACAATCCAACTCAAAAGCAAAGAAAATATTTTTTCTTTTACCATGAATAATCACAGAATAGCATCATTTATTATAACCTTTGGTGACGGGAGACCATTTTTAATAAGGGTCCATATAATATATCTAGTTTTTACTTATAGTGTGGACTCATCCAGCTTATTTTCTGAGGTTTAATTTTCTTTTTTTGTATCAATATCCTCGCGTGAACACTTGTTAAATATATGTGTATAAATGTGTTCCTGGGGCTTTAGACATTTTTTCCTTTCTGCCAAATGTAACTTATTTTATGGGGAAGAGAAAAAAATAATTGAATATGTTCGCAAGGATGATTATTTAAATCTTAGGGAGTGCGCCAGAATACAACAAAAAAAGTCCACATTAGTGCGATCGATGTTTGTTATACTTTTTTGGGAATTACGCGTGTTATATTGGGCGCAAACTAATCACTTAATATTATTTTTTATATTTATAAAATTTTTGCTAATTAATTACTTATGTGTAAAACCGTCTGTTTGTGATTTTGTATCAGGTTGTTGATTAATCATAAGGTGTTAAAGTGAAAGACGATAATACACTCCCACACTCTTAGGTAACATTATCAAAAAGACATGAGATGCCTTGTATACCAGTTAGCAAATTTGCTTACTTCGCACAAATCAATTCTTTGAAACTAGTTGAGTTGTTGAAAAATTCTTCATTTTTGATGGGTGTTGGTTAGAGGGATCTGTTTGAAAACTAACTCTTCATTTAAAAGAGAAGAATCTATTTTGATCCATCATAATTCATCATTGAATAATTAGTCATGGAATAATCAAATATTAACAAATTCCATTTAAAGTTTACACTATATGTGGGTGGTCTGGTTAGGATATTATTAAACGGATAAGTAGACAGATAAGATAAAAAATAGGAAATTAAGAAAAAGAGAAGAAGACAAAATATCTCGCCTATATATTTTTTCCACAATAAAATGACGATTTAGTGACACATATATAAGTGAGATTGAGTGGCTTCAGTCACTAAAGAGCACAATAAACAAACATGGATCTACATTTTATCACTGTACACTCGATGTAACATAATATTATCCTCCAAATCTGATAAATAACAGAGCTAAGGGCTGAATATAAAAATCACCGTATTATGCACATATTAGGCAGATTTTAAATAGCTATTTCTTTAATTAGCTAAATTGATAAACATAGTAAACTCAAATAGATTTCATACTAAGGAATACTTTTAACTATATTTCACAAGAGAGTCAGAGATTAGCGACTCTGTCTTAAATTACTATATCAAAATAACTCGTATTCTGTGAGTAATGAAGTTATTGTGTGTTTAGGACTCATGGCAGGCTCACAATATCCTTAGTATGCCCTATAGTTATAACTATAAGGTTGTACATTAATTTAATGGAGGACGGAATCAAAAATGTAAGTTAAATAAGTCTTTAACTCTTTTATTAGAAAACCCGGGTAAAATCGTGCTCTCAAAAAAGATATTACTTTCAGTATGAGTAGGAGAGGAGAGAATCTATGAGATGATTTGAGACTCTCTCTAATCCAAGAAATGGTGAACTACTCATTGAGAATCATTCAAGAGAGAAGTCTCTCAAATGTATATGCTTCTTTGGGCCTATAGAACTTGCGAATTCAAGAGGTAACTTGATACCCTCCAAAATTGTTGAGGCATGTCACCCCATAAAATCGAATGATTATACGGTTAGGCTTGTCACCAGTTCCTCGTGCTCTGCCGAATTACTGTTGTGTGATGTTGGAGTCCATCAAACTGTTTATTTTTATTGTTTGTTGTTAGGCCTCACATTCTCAAATAAAATTTATTGTCATTTAACTTTCTATCTAGTATTATAGGGAAGCTTATTGTAGTTTTCAAAGATTTTGCATTCGCATTTCTTTGTCTGATATCATATTTTATAGACTATAATGCTGGATTGAAAGTAACAATTGAATACCAATGACTTTGATTAATTTGATGCTTCCACGCTTTTATATGGCAATATAATGACAAAAAGACAAGTCTCTTTATTATTGGATAAAAAAAAGATTTAACGCACAACTCAATATATCGGAAAATCAGTATGATTAGGGATTCAGATAAGAATAAGATCTGTACGCATAAATGTTACCAATTAATTCTCCTATACTTTTTTCTGGTAATATCTTTTTGATATGGAACATCAAAGTTCGATTTTCCAAGTTAGACTGAGCCTTCCGTTGTTCTCATTTCTAGAATAACGTGCAGTAAAAATGGATATTTTTTATTTCTCTATTAA